TCATATGTCCTTTCAGAGTCAAGCCTCTTTATTTACCTCAACAAGATACTTAAAATATGCGACAACCAAGCTTCTTCTATCGATCCCTTCGATTCTAAAGCATACAACTTCAGCTCTCCTCTTCATCAAAAAACTCTGCTCTTATCTTTGCCCATGGTTGAATCAATCAAGACTCTCAGTTTAGTGAGCAACCCATAGACCAAGGAAGCACTTCCAAAGGCCTTCGAGTCGTGTTTCGACTCTCTGCCGAGTCTGTTTCGACTCTCAGCCAAGTCTGTTTCGACTCTTTGCAAAAAGGCCTTTGTCTCTTTCCTGACATGTGTTTTGGACTGTGAGTTACTGAATCTGTCTCGGATTGCGAGTTGCTGAATCTATCTCGGACTGCGAGTCGCTGAATCTATCTCGGATCCACATTGAGTTCAGTTGGATCTTCCAAGTGCCATTCTGTGCTTGTAGTTCAAGCAATCTATGCATGTGAAGACTTAAATATCCAACTAGTACGTTTATGCAACTTATTGTGCAAACTTTGCTGCTTTATGTAAATGCATCTTGAGTTTGAGGGGAAGTGTTAACGTATGGTTATCTTGTTAGTATTGATATACATCATTGTGAATACATAGCAATACAGATATGTGTCTGTATAGGTATATACCTCTTAATTAGATGTTTCTTGATTATGATAAGATTAGTTAGTAATTATCCATAACCGTCGGTATTAATCTTTAATTGTTACTGGCTGTATATTTATACGGGTATTGTATGTTCTTGATTAATCAATTGGTAAAGAGATAGTTCTCTACAGTATTTTGAGTTTCTAAATAAATATCCCTCGGACAAATTTTAATTAATGATCAATGTCTTTTGATAGAAATTTTCAATTCAAATTTAAACATGGGTGAGATGTTAAAAGTCAACCTCTTAGGTGGATAAAATAGAAAAGTCATGTTTAAGAATATGAATAAGGTTTTGATTTCGAAATATTTTTATATCACATTCACTAAGATGACCCCAAGCAACGATGCCAAACATGCATATCGTGATGCCTATTAGCCATGGCAACAATCCTCTTTACAATATTATTCTTTTGAGTAGTGTCATTAAGAATGTAGAGACTTCCATTCTTTTTCCCTCTTAATATTACCACACAGCCTCTTGAAAACTTTTATGATCCCCTTCCAAAGATCAGTATAAAACTAGAGTTTTCGAATTGCCCTACTGAAATGAGATTATTTGTTAATTAAAATGTCTCATTTCTCTATGTGTGCTTATTTCCATGTAATTGTTAAATTTGCCCAAAACTTTGTGCGTACTATAATATATAAGATAGAATATCCACTATGCACACTTGTGTATGATAAAAATTACATTCTTTTGGGGCAAACATAAATCCAAAATGCAAAGGTCTCCAATAGATAATATTGTACATTCAATTCAAAGTGATCCTTTTGTCACAATCAGAGACAACATTTGATTCGGCTTGATTAACCTTGCTCTTAAACTTTTGCTTATTCTTCAAAACAAGACAATCATTACTCATATGACTATTTTCTTACAATACCAATAAGTAGCATTCTTTCCCTGCGACGTTGATCTTCCTCTACCCTAGGGCTGATAATAGGTCGGATCAGATTTAGATATACCTGGATCCGGACTCGGATCCAGAAAAAATTTGGATCTAGATTCGATCGGATCTACTTGGATTCGGACTCAGATCCTGAAAGAATCCGGATCTAGATCCGAACGGATCCAAAATATTCGGATTCAAATCTGGATATAAAAAGTTTATATGGGATCCGAATCTAGATCCGGTCGGATACAATCTGAATTTGACCCATTAGATCCAAATATTGAATTCTTACCAGAATCCAGATAGGATCTGAAATTCTGGTTTCGAATCCAAGCCAGGTAAATTCTCAGCCCTACTCTACCCTGATATTTGCCCCTGTGAAATCTGAAGGATTGGAATTTACGTTGGGTCTTTCCTCTATCTCTTGTTGTCAAGATCGATTGGATTCGATAAGGATTTGTGTGTAGTCCTTCCTAGTTTTCTCATTCAACATCTTTCGAATTAAACTTGTTAAATATTGTTTCTAATATACTTCCAGTAATCGAAATCGGCCATAGATTGCAATCATCGACCTCTCGAACCAAAGAAATCACATTCAGAAATGAATGAAAAGATTGCACTAACTACAAGATAGGAATCATTTATGAAAAAGATATAAGATATCTGATATGTTACTCATGTGATTTTTTCTGCTTTTGATAGTCACTGTTTAATTCTAACACAAACAAAATGTGGCGATCCCAAGCTTTCGCAAATTCCTATTGTATGATTATTCTTTCATCTGACAAATAGTTGTTAGTGTAATTTTTCAGGCAAATTGTAACTTTTAATTTCTACCCCATGCAAATGTTGAAATAATTTATAGACTAGGCTAACCCAGCATGCACTAATATTGACACTAAAGCATTGCAAAATCATGGGTAAGATTCACCAGTTGATGGATGGGTTTTGCTATGTACAAAAACCCTTTTTCTACCATGTAGTTTAGCATGGCAATTTATAAAGAAAATATTTTGATAGGCTTGTAGTCCTATCAAATTCAGTAATGCCTCATCTCAAAACTCACCAAAATTTGATGTTAGGGAATTGAAAAACCGTCCAATCAATCAGCTCAGGCTTCGACCATTATAGTTATTAAGAAAAAAAAAATCAATTACTAAAAATATTGTGTACTGTAACATTTTATCTAAATTGTCCATTGCGTCCTAAAAATAAGGGTTTTTGGATTCGCAAGATCTATACCGTTTTTTGAGTTTTAGATTTCATAGTCGGTGTTGGAAATTGATTTTAGAGCCATCATGCAGATTTTCAATGCCCAAAGTTGTTTCCAGACAAGCATTTGAGGCGAGGCTTTACTTTGTTTTCATAAACCTAGGCCTTATGTTAGGATTTAAGAACCCTCAAGTGCGGAAACTTGAATCCCAAATATTGGAACCCACCAAGATTGTGTACTTATCTAGCTAGAAACAAAATAGATGAGAGTACGAGCCATAATACGAGAAACAAAGTATAAAAAAACACATACACACACACACTATAAGAATATACAAATTTACGTGGTTCACCTCAAAAGGGCTACATCCATGGGCATGACAAACTGAAATACATTATACTAATGAAAGTTACATTGCAGATTTTGGGACATAGAGTTACCTCGATAACCCTCAACAAATCTCAGTCAAGTAAACCCTTATAGACTCAGTCTCTCCATCGACAATCTCTCATCTCTATTCTACAGCTAAATCACTATCCAGGAAAAGACCATCTCCATTCCCCATATAAACCACTGTCCAGGAGGAAAACCTTGAGAGCAACTAAGACTTTCCCTCTCTAAAAGGGGAAACCACACAAAATCTTCATGGATACCTCTTCTATACAAGAATCCAGCCTCTCCATTTACATTAGGCACAACGCGGAGTTTTTCTCTATAGGAAGCTCTTTTCTCTTTGAAAGGGATGCTTTTCCTCTCTTGCATAGGAGGCGTCTGCCTCTCTCTCTAGAGGAAACCACTTTTCCCTTATGGTGATCCAAATAAGGCACACAAATTTTTTGCACTTTCATATCATATATATATAAGGTTAGGAGTTCACATCAAATAGAAAACTTTCCTTATATATATGATATGAAAGTGTAGAGAATTTGTGTGTTATATTTGGGTCTCCATATATGAAAGGTAGTTTCCTCTAGAGAGTAGTAAGACTCTGATACCGCTTGTTAAGATTTAAGAACCATCTTAAATGCAGAAACAAGAATCCCAAAGTTTAATTCCACCAAGATCGTATACTTATCTAGCTAGAAACAAATTATGCAAAAGAACGAGCGATAATACGAGAAATAAAACATGAAACACACACCACAGGAGTACAAAGATTTACGAAGTTTACCCCAAGATGGCTACATCTACGGGCACAGCGAACTGAAATCCACTATGCCCATGAAAGTTACATTACATATTTTGAGACAGAGAGTTACCTCTCTAACACGCGATTGGGTTTTGTCAAGTGTTAGAGAGGTAATTCTTTGTCTCAAAATCTGTAATGTAACTTTCATTGGTATAATGGATTTCAGTTTACCATGCCCGTGCCCGTTGATGTAGTTCTCTTGGGGTGAACCACATAAATCTTTATGCCCTTGTGGTGTATGTGTTTCATGCTTTATTTTTTGTATTATCTCGCATATTTTGTTTCTTGCTAGATAAGTACACAATCTTGGTGGAATCCAATTTCGGAATTCCTTTTTCCCTATCGAAGAGGGTTGTTAAATCCTAACACCGTATAAAAACTGCTTTCAATTTACAATTTGTCTGTTTTTATGTACATTTTAGTTTGTTTAATTTACTTTGGACATGTTTCTACATCAACTAGGAGTAATAAGAAAATATATACAAATATATACAATGAGACCATTTACTTTTGATATAGAGTGAACTTTGTTATATTTAATTTTTTAAGAAAATTATTGGGTTCTTGGAATCCGGCATCGTTATCCCAATCCGACTAAGATGATTTCCGCTGGAGCATAAAAAAATCAACCACGCACGCCTCAGGTGCCTTTGACTTCATAAATTTGATTTTTTTCCAGAAGCTCTATCTTCTCACAAAAACAATACAAAAAAAGTTAGGATTTAATATTATCTGTCCAACCCGGAAGTTGCTGAATGGACCGGTGTTTGACTATGGCCTCAATTCTCTTTTGAAGCGATCCAACGCTTTGCAGTTGCGACATCGTCAAATCAGACGGCACTTCTTGTAGAAGTTCCACCAACTTGTATACATCAACAAATGCTCTCATTTCTCAACCCGCTCTCTCCACCTTACAACCAGAAGCACCCACTCTCTTTAGATTAGGAAAGAAAGAGAAAGAAACAAAATTTCCCAGAAAAAAAAAGAAAGAGAAAAAGAGCGAGAAAGAAACCGATAGAGGAAGAGAGAGAACAAAAAAGAGGAGAGAAAAGATGGGGATTAAAGCAGTGATAGTTCTTTTTCTTGTCTTCTCTTTCTGTTTTGATCTGACGAAAGCTATCCCCAACATTCCTATGCAGACCCAACATGGTAAGTAAAGCTCTTAGCTGCCTCAATTTTGAGCAAACCCTTCTTTTTGTTTTCGTTGAAGATTTGAACCTCAATTTTGACAGCCCTTCCCTCTGTCCTGAACATGCGAAATTTGAAAATTTGCACATTTTTGTTTTCAGGAACCACAATGAAGGTGGAAGAAGGGTTAGAACTTGGAGCTCATTTCGGAGGCAAAGTTTTGGCACTCGAAGTGACAACCGAATTTGACAGCAAATTTGGAGGCGATCGCCGCATTCTAAAACGAGTTATAAGACGCAGATCGCGGCTTTCAAATGGTGCGGCTGCCCCCGATTCGCAGCACAACAGAGCCGGCCCGAGTCGCCACGGCTCATTCAAATGGGCCATCTTCGGAATCCTTTCCATGTGGGTTTTCTTGGTCTAGAATTTGCAATGGGACCTCGTGCTGTATAACTCACAGACAATGGAAACTCTGTTGTTCGTACTTACATAGGATTATTGGCACTTCATGGATTGGTTAGAGGGTGCTGGTGTGTGATGAACCGTAGGTTCTTAGACAGTGATCTGTTTAGGGGGATCCATTCTTTGATATTTAGTGTTCAATCTAATGTTGCGACGGTGATGCCGCAAATAGCCCTACTATTTTTTATTACCATTTTTTTATGCCACGAAAGGTCTATAATATATGTCCTTTGCGTAACATGTGATTGGTGACATTGAATTATCCAACTAATTGTGACTTCAACCATTGTTGGAAAATGCCTGCTTAGATTGGAACCGGCCACTAGACTAGTTTCGATTTCAGTAGGTTTTGGTGACCGACCTAGTATTTTTTAAAAATAAAATAAAAAATTTATATAAAAATTCAAAAAATAAAAGATTTTATTTATAATGCATTTTTAATGTTTTTCACCATTATAGGAAATATTGGAAATCGTTTTTGGCAAGTAATATTTATTTTTATATTTTTTAATACTTTTTTTTAGAAAATTTTTAAAATACCCCTGAGCACAAATCAATTATGTAAATTTCATTTTTTAAAAATTTTCAACTTCATTTGGATGTGTTTTGTTGAATCATTCTTTAAATTTATTTTTCATATTTTAGTAGATTTTTTGTATTTTTTTTTAAAAAAATTCTATCACTTTTTTTGCCATCCAAAACTTGGGCAGTTAAAATAGTTGAACTAGCCGGTTTACCGGTTTACCGGTTAGGTTGAACATTGACTTCAACTCACACATACACATGAAAATATTCTTTCTTATTTTTTACAAATGTTACTTAATATGCATACACATGAAAATCTCTCTCTCTCTCTCTCTCCACCCCCACTCCCACCCCCACCCCCGCCGCTGCCCCTGACCCCTTTCCAGCCCCCAAGTTCTCAAGCATGGAGCTCGGGTGTTAACATTGTTGGAATGAGGTGGGTGAAACGGGGCTTAAATACTTACCCAAAAAAAAAGAAAAAAGAGTTTCGGGTCTTCTTTTTCAACCCCGATGACTCGATAATTTCCACAAGCACAAATTCTATATTTTATAGGCTCAAAGATTCTTTCACAAAACAATCCATCTTTTTCCGACCATCTGTCCATTGGGTAGGATTTTTTTTGGCCCAAGCAGATTGATGAAGCAGTTCATCAAACTATTAGAGGACATAGAATCTTGTCACTTCCGAGCACGAGTAATCGCTCTATGTAAGACACCTTTTGCCCCTAGTGATAAAAGTCACGGTGATTAAAGGTTTTACTGTTCTCTTCTTCTTTTTAAATGTTCAGGGTGAATGAAGGTTATCTAGCCACAGTTGTCCTCAAACTACCGAAAATAGAAGATCCAACAGTTTTCCAGCCTTCTAAACTGCAGGAGAATAACAAAAAGTCAGCCACCAGACTTACGTTTGTTTAGAGAGAAAAAGTTAGCGATGTTTAAGAATGGGAAGGTCAAGTCGCATATACATATAGAGAAAGAACATGTGCTTTAAACTTTGCCCAAGGCAGTGTTCAAAACTAACGGAACGGGCCTACTAGTCGGTCTTGGACAGAGCTGATTGGTCCCACTGATTTCGATTAGAACGGCCGATTAGTGCCCTAATGTTTTTTGAAAAATATAATTTTGGTAAAAAATCCTAAAAACCTCAAAAATTCCCAAAAAATGCCCAAAACTTGTAAAAAAATGTTTAAATTTTAGATGCATTATTTTTTTTATATTGTCACATAGTAAAATCAAAAAAATAAATATTATAAGTATAATTGAGTTTCGGAGAAAATGATTAGGCACTTGAATACATATTAAATACAATATGTAATCAATATATATAAATTACATTACAAAATAGATATAAATATAAAATATAAAATATATAATATATAATATATAATATATAATATATAATATATAATATATAATATATAATATATAATATATAATATGACATAATATAATATAGGGGAAGATTATAAAAAACCCCCCAATATACTCTATCTATGCAACTTAACCCCATCCAAACTTTTTCTCTTCCTTTTTTCCCCATAACAATCTTTCTTTACAAAAACCCCTCAAGGTAAAAAATTGTTATTATTTGGATGGAAATGCCCTTCCCATACCAAAAAAAATGAAATGGGGCTGACTATCGGTCCCAAGTAACGTATTGTTGGAGCACAGTATGCAACTGCCGGAGCGAATTTTCTAGAATATACTGCCGGAGCACATATGTATCGAGTACGCACTGTCGGTGCGTTGAATATATTGCCGGAGCGCGCTATTACATTGCCGGAGCACTGTGGCTCTAGGGCCTCTATTGTCGGAGTGCCTTTATAGATTGCCAGAGCGAAATGTCTCCAGAAGGCGTATTGCCGCGCGTTCATATACTGTCGAAGTGCTTAACACATTGTCGGAGCGCCTTATTAAATTGCCGGAGCGATGTGGCTCTAGAACGTGTATTGCTAGAGCATTCTTGTCGGAGTGCTGTGGCTCTAGAACATGTATTGCTGGAGCATTCTTGCCGAAGCATTCTTTGGGATTGTCGAAGCGCGTCGTCTCCAAAAATTGTACCGCCAGAGTGCTTTGGGCAAATAAAAAAATGTGAAATAGGAGAGAGAAGGGCACGTGAAGAAAGGTAGTTTAGCCTTTTTTTTTATTCTTTTGGGGTTGGGGGGGTTTTTTCAGAAGAAAGGTTGTTATGGGGAAAAAAAAAGTGAGACAAAACGGTTGGATAGAGTTAAGTTGCATAGATAGTGTATATTGGGGTTAAGTTGCGAGTAATATAGTACAATATTTCAACTCAAGAGCATGTTTGTTTTTTGGGTATTTTAAAATTCAATTAAAAATATAGGTAAACTATAAAATTGTTCATCTCTTTGTGACAATTTTGATAAATTTCCATCTCTCTCTCATATATTTGTCTATGTGTATGTCCAGGTGCCCCTCGGGGGTGGTGGTGTATGTTTCTAGGCATGCCACCCCAAAGACTTCTTAACCACATCACTAATCCTAACACTAGTTTGAGTTGCATCAAGTAAAAAAAGTAAATTATTTGGATGAAAATACACCTTTTCAAATTCATGTTTCTCTCTTTTTAATTTATTTTTCCTTATTGAAGCCAATCCAGCGTGGTTATTATAACAAAGATGCCGGTCCGGCATACAGCTGCTACCAGTCCCTACGAATGCCAGTCCGGCAATAGTGTGTCGGACTGACTTCAAAAAAAAAGAAAAGAATAAAGAGAAATGTGTGTTTTGAAAGGGGTGTTTTTCATCAAAAAAAGAATAACTTTTTGAATTGGGGGGAAGAAAAAGGAAAACAGGATTTACAATGCAGTTTAAAAATAAGGGGCAATAGCTAGAGAGTTGAGTAAAGGGGTTATAAATTTTCCTAAAGTGTAGTTAATAATTTTGTTTTTTTTTACATAGAATTTTAAAAAGATCATATTGTCCATAGTTCAAATTTTCAAGATCTGAAACTATACAATTTTGTAATTCAATTATTTTTTATAATTTTTGAATTGTAAAAATTGTAAAAATTGTAAAAATAGTAATAATTATAATAATACTTTTTTTTATAGTACATATTAAACTAATCCCTGCTATGAGACCTCGGCATTCAATGAGTAGAAAAGAATACCGAACTTCTCCCTGTCAAATAACTTTGGGATAAAATTAGTCGAAAGTCATTCTGAAAATCCCTCAAGAACTTCAACACTTGAGTACTATATTAGGACAACCTTTCTATACTTCCCCCAATGTATAATAGTTATATACTTCCCATTCATAAATGAATGAACGACAAAGATGGATCCACTTACAATGCCACACCTTTACACTGATTTATTTATTTATTTATTCTTCAAAACAATTTGACCCGAAATTTTGGGTACCTACTCCTATGTGAAGCTCACACTTACAAAATATATAAAATAAATATTTTTGACAAAATAAAATTAACCAAAATACCCTTGAATTGGAAATATTACTTTCATATATTTTTTAGCTACTCCCCATTGAGACGATGACACATAGCAAATTTCATATTCATATAATTGGTAGAATAAAAACTGAAATAAAATACTTCGAGGTATCAGACCTAAATAAAATGGTCAGTGACTTATTTGATCTAAATTGGACGGCTGGATGGGGGAAGTATAGAATTTTCATATAATAGGGGAAGTATAGAAAACTTTTCCACCATAGTAACAATGTAATTTACACCATCCAGTACCATAGTAACAATGTAATTTACACCGTCCAATACCATTGTAACATTGTAATTTACTCAATCCAATAGTTCGGCAATTTATACACTATTTGGATCATGATTAGTCATGAAATGTAGGTGCACCACGAAAGCTTGTAGATAGCTCACATGGCTTAAAGTGACTCAATGCAACCCATATAAGGGATCGTATACAATAAGACCATTTATCTTTGGTACAAGGAGGTTACAATTATTTATAATCATTCGATGAGAAATCAGATATCTTGGGTGTATCACAAAGTCTCAAAAAAATTCTTTTGAAATTTATGCTTGGTCACTAAAATAAATATAACCACCCAATTCCACATCCAATATTCAAGATTAGTTGTGACAACCTTGTACGAAATGTAGATGGTCTCATTATATATACTTTACCCCCATATAAACCCATCCCGTGTTCAAAAATTTTAGGGACTCATCTAAAAACACCATTCTAGATCCCTTTAGCAAATTAGGGGTCACTTAAATACCATTTGATTTGTCAAGGTGACCCATGATGTATAGGTAATTGATGCACATTAGGGTATGAATTTCAAATCATGGTTGATTTTCTCAAACTAAACTGGAATAACTATGTATCATTTATTTTTTTAGAGGGAGGGATGTACAGATAAACATATTTGACATCTTATCTTCGATACAAATATGTATAGAGTGTGAAAGAGATTGTTTGACATCTTATCTTACAATAGTAAGCCTAGACTCGATGCACAAAATTTTCAATAAATGAATACTTGTATCATTTTTTACAATATTATGAATTATTTTATGGCAATATGCATCAAGGAAGTCTAACAAGACGAATCAATGAGCAGATAGAATATCACCATTATAAAGGAGGCAACAGTAAGACACAAGCTAGAAGAAAAAAAACAAACCACCTAGATGGCGGCTATGATTCTTTTATCGATGATAAA